GGAAGAGGTAGAGTTGGCAACAGGGGCAGAGGTTGAGTACAGCAGGGCTGGCCAGAGGAGATCAGGAGAGGAGGGGAGAACTGGCTGCCGGAAGCAGGGCTGGCGGCGGGTGCAGCGGGTCTGGCCGGGGAAGATCGGGAGGAGAAGTGGGGAAAAACCAACCGGACGGTCAGGAGGGGGTGTGGCAGAGGAGCGTATCAGCCAGTTGGGAGTGGGACTGACCCAGGCAGTGCAGATCCCAGGGCGCTCCCGCCCCCAGCACGGTCCAGGCGAAGTGCGGGTCAGTCGAGCTGCAGCTCCACTACGTGCTTGACCAGCACGCAGAAGCACGCAGCTGCCCCTCCTCCTCACATGCACCCAGGGCTCCCCGCCTCCCAGCCACTGCCCCCGCCAGGCTTCCAGGCGCCCAGTCGGAAAACCAGAAAATACCAGACATTGCACATGTTCAGTATTTTCTGGATTTTTTTGTAGTGGACAGAGCCCAAAAAAACCAGACTGTCCAGTAGAAAACCAGACACCTGGCAACCCTAATATATCCTAAGCAATGCAGCCTCCCCTTCAGGGTGCCTTGAACCTTGAAAGAGGAGTCAGAATGCAAGGTTGATTTCCATGCTTGATCAACTCTTAGCCCCTTTTCTGAGATGAACAGCAGGATCTCTCTGCAATGCCATTTGTGAAAGTTGCTTTGATATGCCAATGTGTCTCCAAGGAATACGGCTGGGACCACAGGTAACAGTTTCCAGTAATAAATGGAGTGTCTGCACACACCATGACAGCAACAGACCCATTTGGATTTGCCATAGCACTCTAAAAATAGCTTTGAAGACAGCACTTTGAAGTTGCAGCTTGTCCTGGAGCTCAGGCCCTCAGTTTCTGACCTGCAAGCCTGAGTCTGTTAGCCTGGAATGGGAGGCTGACTCCTGGGGCTGTAAAGATGTATCTCTGAAGGCTCTGATTCAGTCAGTTTCCCTAAATTCATTTTATAGTCAAGTCAATACTACTTCACAGGGGCCCAGATCATCCCCTCAAATTAAAAGCCCTGGCTCAGCTTTAGGAATGGAAACCTCTGCAGGCCCTCCCTTCCCCTGCCCCCAGATCTCTCCACATTATCCCATCAAGTGGTGGGGTAGGCCACTCCGTCTACTCCCCAAAAATATCCAAAGCCTGTAAGATAGCCAGAAAGCCATGGGAGGCCAATGATATCAGTTGGAGGGCCTTGTCTCTATCAGGTAGGACCCTATATCTCAGTAGTTTGGCAGTGTGACTTCCTTTAGAACAAAATCGAATATAATTCATAACCTATCTGCACACAGTATTAAAAAAAGAATAAAGAAAAATCTAACAAATTTGTAAATAATTTGATCAACTCTCATATGTATGTGTCATCTTAGGTGTGAGTAAGAAGCTTTTAAGGAAGTATAACACAAATTACTTCAATTAATTACACAGCTTCAGGGTCCTGTAATAGGTTTTCTTAGAAAGTGGCATTTCCTCAAATATCACATTCCAGATACAGAATTAAAATTAGTTAAATCTTATAAAATGATCAGATGAAAAGCTCTATAACAAACAGTAACCTCAAGCCTCACTTCTAGTGTACATGAAAAAGAGATGTCCTCTGTGGTGTTTTAACTGCAGCACCTTAGGGATACTTGCGACTAAGTTGGTTAATTTTCTTAAGCCCCTCTTTGTTGTTGATGGTTTTGTGCACAGTGATGAGAAAGGGGAAAGCAGAAGGGAGCTCCACTCTGCTGCTTAGCTTCTGATGTCCCCAGTGCAGGCACTGAAGTTTATCAGCCAGGTCCTTTCTTCCAGCCCGTTCTAGGGCATCCTGAAGGATCTTTGTCTTGTTAAGTTTATTCCATGATCGTTCATACCTGCATTTGTTGCAGCAAACATTACAGCATTGTGATCAATCAGCATAAGATGCAAGTCATCCCCATTTGCACGTGAAGTGTACCAACTATATATATTTGTAAAATATGGCATATTTACCTCCCCCCAACAGACAAGATACTATTTGAGATCATATCTTCCTTTTACTTTCTAGTACCACTGTTGGATTCCAATGGAGATAAGAAAAGGGACACTGCAGCAGAAAATAGTGTAAGCTCCTTTGGCTACATTTGCAGTAGGAAAAATCAAGACTGGTGGAGCTATACCCTTTGTGAATTACTGCTCCTAATTTCTCCCAGCCAATATTTGCAAAACTGGATACCCTACATTTAAGGTTTTCAGGCCCTGTTTAAGTACTTTAATATAGACTGAGTTTCCACAGTGCTTAATGTTTACCTGTAAAATAAAAATTGTAACAAACAAATTAAATACCTACTTTACTACCCACTACTCTCACTTTCTTCAGTATTCATAACTATATAATGTGGACCTTGTACTTTGGCATAATAATTCATCTGAAGAAGTGGATTGTGCCCACAAAAGTGCATGATACCGTCTACGTGTTTTGTTAGTCTCTAAGCTGATGCAAGGTTATTTGTTGTTTAAGTTTTTCCAGTTACAGACTAACTCAGCTACCCCTCTGAAGCAAAATGTCAAACATTGTAAGTCAATGTTTTAGAGATTCTAAGGCCAGAAGAGACCATTGTGATTAAGACTTTGTGTAACATAGGCCATAGAACACCACTCTCCCCCAAATCCCTAGAGGAGGAGGGTTTTTTTAATCCAAACTTGATTTAAAAATTATTAGTGATGGAGAGTCCATCATGATCTTGGTTAATTGTTCCAATAATCAGTTATCCTCACTGTCAAAAAGGAATGCCTTATTTCCAGTCCGAATTTGTCTAGCATCAACTTCCAGCCATTGTATTGTGTTATATCTCACTCTGCTGAAAAGCCCATTATTGAATATGTGTTCCTTAGGTAGATACTTGACTGTAATCAAGTTACTCCTTCACTTTCTCTTTGATCCCTTGGGGTATGTTTACACTGCAATAAAGCACCTCTGGCTAGCCCATTTCAGTTGACTCAAGCTCTCAGTGCTGAGATCGTGTATCTTTAAAACTGAAGCACAGATGTTTGGGTGAGCTGGATCTCAGGCTCTCGAGGGTCCCAGAATCAGTACCAGCCCATGCCCAAACAGCTGACATGAGCGAGCCATGGTTGTTTTATTGCAGTGTAAACATACCCTTTGAGTCTGTCGTTATAAAGCATGTTTTCTAATCCTTTAATCATTCTTATGGCTTTTCTTGGAAACCCTCTCCAATTTATCAACACCCTTCTTGAATTGTGGTATGAACTGGGCCTGGTATTTCAGCACCACTCTCACTGTTAACAGATACAGAGGTAAAATAACCTAGCTACGTCTGGTGGTTCCCCTGCTTACGCATCCCATGATTGCTCTAGCTCTTTTGGCCACAGTGTGACGACGCATTCAGGGTTCACTTCTATCCACCATGACCAGCAAACCTTTTTCAAAGTCATTGTTTCCCAGTATTGTGTCCCCTATTCCTTAAGTATGGCAGACATTCTTTATTCCTACATGTATTCATTTACATTTAGCCATATTGAAATGTATATTGTTTGCCCCCTATACCAAGTGATTCAGATCGCTTTGAATCAGTGACTTGTCCTCTTCATTATTTACCATTTCCCCCAGTTTGTGTGTCATCTACAAACCTTATCCAGATCATCGACAAAAATGTTAAATAGCATAGGGCCAAGAACCAATCCCTGTGGAACCTCATTGGCAATACACCCATTTAATGATAATTCCCTATTTACAGTTATATTTTTAGACCTATCAGTTAGCCAGTTTTTAATCCATGTAACGTGTGCCATGGTAAATTTAGATCATTCTAGTTTTTTAATCAAAATTGTAGTAAGTCAACCACATTACAGAAATCCAAGTACATTTTCATCAACATTTAACTTTATCAACCAAATTTGTATTCTCACCAAAAAAAAGAGAGCAAGTTATTTTGACAAGATCCCTTTTCCATAAACCCATATTGCATTAATTATATTACCCTCCTAATTCTTTATTAATGGATTACCATATCAGTTGCCCCATTATCTTGCCTGGGAATGGAATCAGGCTGATGGTCCTATAATTAGCTTCCCACTTTAACTCCTATTTAGTCACAGATCTTCACACTCTCTTGTAAATGTAATAGCAAAATACCTATTTCTGATGTCTCTGGTTCTGGTCGTTGGGTTATTCAGGCTGGTATTGTATTTCGTTTCCGGTGAACTGCACCATAACGAAGCTAATCACATTTTATAGATCCATCCAAAACGTTTGTTCACTTTTTATTTCCTATCCCTTGCTTTTACTTTCTGCCTCTTTCTTCCACTCTTCTCTCCTAGGTATGTGGAAGATAGTACAATGCTGCACTGCTCTGATGAATACACTAGAACAGATTAGGTGCCACTGTGGCAGCCAGCTACAGCCCCACCTCATCATCACCATTTTTTCTTACCCACTTTTAGAGAATGTGTGGTTGTGTCTAGTTATGGGCAGTAGCACAGAGCAGTTCTTGCACCCAGGATTTCAGAGGCTGCAATTGTGGCTGCCTGCTGCCCTCGGCTTAGGGGAAGGAATTGTTGGCATAATAGTAGCCTCCAGCAAGGATCAGACATAATCTGACCCACGTGAGACTGAGCTAACATATTATACAAAACCGGTCATAGCACGCAGAGGGATTCAGGACGATGCCCTTAGCAAGAAGGGTTATTTTAATGACCTTAAAATTAGATCCTACATTTACTGCAAAAATTTAATCTATTGAAAAGTCACCAAATTGCTTCATGTAACTGGTTGATTGGACAAGCATTAGCGATCATCACAGCAGTTTGCTTAATGTCTGATTATACAATCCATGGGTGTATAAGAATACAAAGCTAGAGAAACTGTATTTGTACAGGGTTATGCTTTAAGCTTTTTTGGGCAGGCACCCTCTTACGGGTCTGGCACAGTTTATCTCCTATACATCACAGTTAGAGTGCTACAGAAACAATAATAAAGATGGAGAAAAAAATAATTAATTTTAAAGAAACAAATTTGTTCTTGCTGCACACAAATCAACTGTTTCATCTCTATTCTAAAAACAGTTCTATCCCTTGGGCATGCTAACGTGCTGTTACTGCAATTCTAACAAGCTTTAATGAACATTTTGACATTGTGTCTGTATCGAAGTCTGAACTCCATTCTCTATTATGTATTGAATACATATATACTTATTGGAGGGCAGCCTCGTTACTGCATACCAGGCAGCTGCCCTATTTGGAAAAGATATCGGATACCTCATTGAAGAACTATCATTGAGAAGCTATCAAGGCTGCAGTCTAGGGTGACTGCATTTTATTATCTCAACTACCGGTCCAACCCAGAGAACAAGTTTATTTTTTCTGCACAGATGGGGCAAGCAGGACTGGGGGCAGGACCTGGATCTCTACATGGCAGAGGAGTATGATCAGTTGATGAAGGTAAGGCTGGCGGAGGCAAGGCCTAGCCCTGTCCCTTCTGCTAAGGTCCTGTTGTTGGGCAACCCGGCCTCCCCAGCCCAGAGCATGGGGAGGGTAGGCAGCACATGGCCCAAGCCTCCCTGGCCTCACAGAATGGGAAAGGAGGAGGGCGGGTGGCTCCAGCCTCCCCGGCCCCTGAGCACAGAGAGGGAGGAGGGCACATGGTTTCAGCCTCCCTGGGCCCAGAGCACCAGGAGGGCAGGTGCTGGGGGATGGAACGCTCCTCTCCCAGAATGCCTACAGGAGGCGTTCTGGGGGTGGAGTGTGGGCGGGTCCAGGCTGGCAGTTTGGGAAGGCTGTGCCTTTCTCTGCCTAGCATACCAGCTGCCCATGCAGAGAAGCAACTTAAGAGCAACATTCGCTCTGTGCTGGAGGACTGACCATGGCCCCATGTAAGAAGGAGATTGAGATTGGCTAGAGTTCCTCCTGCATTCTAACATTGACCATGGCCCCATGTAAGAAGGAGATTGAGATTGGGTAGAGTTTCTCCTGCATTCTAACATCCCTGGCAAACTGGAACTCTCAGATGCTGTGAGATCGACCGATTTTGTTTTAAAAAATGTGTAAGTCTTGAGTAGCTTAAGAGTCAAGTGACAGTAATTAAGAAATTCCTTTGCTCAGTCTGTGTATCTTGCGTTCCTGCCAGCCTGTCCCCAAATGGGTTAAACTAGGCGCTCAGAGCATCCACAACCTAAGTGGGATTCTGAGGAGAGGGGGGTGAGAAGCAAGGCAGTTCCCTAGCTTCGGCAGGGGAAGGGTTAAAGCAGGCTGGAGAGAGCCTGTGCAGAGACCCAGCAAATGAAAAAAGGGCTCTTAGAAGGAGCCAATCAATCAGGGAGTGGCTTGCTGGGGCAGCCCCGGATTTAAGGAGCTGCTCAGCAAAGCCGAGGGTAGTTGGAACCTGAGCAGGAAAGGCGCAGGATTGATTTCAAAGGAAGTGCCTTAGAGAGAGAAGTGCTGGGTAGGCTCAGGAGAGGGAGGGAGACTGCAGGCCTTGATGTAAGGGGCAGGGAGGTTCATGGTTCACAGTGGCCCAAGTAAAATGAGGTAGTAGATGGGGAAAGGAGAAGGGTAGGACAAGGCTGCCACCAGAGGGTCCCTGGGCCAGGACCCAGAATAGTGGTGGGGCCTGGGTCCCTCCTGTCTCCTTACACCACACCTTGTCACTTTCAGGAGGGCCCTTTAGAGCTTGTGGCTAGATTAAGGCTGTAGTTGGCCATGGTGGCCAGTACAAGCCTGAGGACTGCTGATACCCCTGGAAGGGGGATGAGACCAGTGTGGTGGACAGTGCTGGGAGGCAGTGTCTTGAAGAGGATGCTGTGATCCGGGGAATGACATGGGTCTGGAACAGAGAGTGGAGCATGCATGGAATGCGGAAGGCTGAGATACTGGCCAGAAGGGAATGCCCTGCAGAGGACAGAGCTAATTCCTGGAGTGACCCACAGGAGGTGTTGTAGCACTGAGTATGCCTGTTACAGGGAGCATGTGTAGGCACTTTTGGGTGGGGGATTAAAAGGTCTCAGACACTGGTTTTACAGTGTAGGGTAGATGGGCATTGGTCTCCCATGTGCTGAAGAAGGGTGCCAGATGAGATAGGAGGCTATGTCTATACTGGAAAGGTTTGGTGACAAAAGTGCTGTCGATGTGCAATTGTCACCAAAAGTGGAAAATGATCATTATGGTCATGAAATGTTGACATTGCTAGCATCCTGTTGACCGAGCAAAGCAATGTAGATAAGCATCCCACAGTGTAGTGTTGTGGGAAGTCAGAGCTGATCCCTGTGCTTCCTAGGATTCCCTTGTAGCTCTGTGAGCTCTCCTTGATGAGGAATGTCAAAGCAGCACAGCATTCTCTCCAGCCCTCCCCCTGTAGCAGCTGTCTGCCTACTGCTGTGTTCCTAGTACAGGGCAGAACAGAAGCATTCCAATGATTTGTTCTTTGTTCCCCAAACAGAGCAGCTCACTTCATTGTCAGATAATTCCCAAAGCCTTGAAAGGGTAGAGCTGTATGCCTGCAGTGCAGCAGAGATCACAAAACACTGAGCAAAGTCATCAGGGCAGGCATTGTGGGATATTGGCAGAAGCCAGTTCTCTCAGCAAACAAACAAGAGACACTGGCTATTTGTTCACAATAAAGGAAGGGAAAAAGACAAAAGTCTCTTGCAGGGGTGGAAGTTTTTTATGGCCAAAACTGGGTGTTTTTCCTGACAAAAGTCACATTACATTTCAAATTCTCTCCCTGTTCTGTTGCCAAAAGGAAGCTACGCAAATGTCGAGAAGGCCTGAGTGCACTCATTAGTCCCAGAAATAGAAAAACTGACGAAACTCTATTCAGAGTTGGTTTTGAAGCACTTGTGGGCCCCATACGTGGGTTTATTTGCAACAGACTGCTGACCATACAAAAGAGTTTTGGGCCAGGTTGTGACAAATATCATAAATATTTCTTTTATATGAGAAAAGAAATAGCAATAACCTAAAATTAGTCCCATAGGTCAGGGGCTATCTTAACTGTGAGATGTGGATGAAAGTATACAATGATCTAAACTATTTATTTGACAGGATGAAGGACTTTGCACTTCTCACCTTTAGCTACTTACCAGCACTCCAGCATTTTCTGTGCTTGAATCTTCTTCTCTGTGCTAGCTGAGTGAAACTGGGTTATTTCTGCTCTGCTGAATCCCAGCTCGCTAGCAACAATTGTCCACTCAAAACCCAGTTGCTTACCCAGTTCTTGTACTGATTTCAGGTTAATGACAGCATCCTAGCAGTCAAACAAATTCACATTGTTTTAACTTACGGAAAAGAATGTTATGCCATAAAGAGAAATGCAAAATACTACTCTTAAGAAGGGGGAAAAAATGCAAAACCTAAATGAAAACTGGCTAGCAGGTAGTACACCTGAAAATGATTGGGGAGGTACAGTGGATCACAACTTGAAAATGAATCAATAATATAAAGCAGTTGTGGGAAAAGCTAATGCCATTCTGGCATATATTAACTGGAGCATCATATGGGAGACATGTTAGGTAATTGTCTCATTCACTTGGCAGTAGTGAGGCCTCAGCTGGAGTACCTTGTCCAATTTAGTGCGCCACACTCTTTAAAAAGCTGTGGACATCCTGGAGAAGTCCAGGGGTGAGCAACAAAAGCTATAAAAAGTATTAAAAACCTGCCTTATGAAGAAAAGTTTAAAAAACAAACGGCTGTTATGGAGGATGGGGATCAACTGTTCTTCATGTCCACTGTTGACAGGGAACAAAATCAACTTTGTAGCAAATGGGATAGATATTAGGGGAAACATGGTAGCTATGCACTGGAAGAGGCTTCTGGAAGGGGCTGTGGAATCTACATCACTGGAAGTTTTCAAGAACAGGTTGGCCAAATCCTTTCCTGTGGAATCTACATCACTGGAAGTTTTCAAGAACAGGCTGGCCAAATCCTTTTGGCTATGAGGTAAGTATAGCTGGTCCTGCATCAGCACAGTGCAACGGACTAGATGATTTTTTTTTCAGCACCACAAACTATGTTCAGTCTATGGCCCTGACATATACATATTAAAGTGAACAATGGATCACCTTTTTAGTCTGTGTAATGTTCCTAGCATAAGCAGGTCTTAGTCCAGAAGTACAGCCTCTCTCCAACTTACTAACTGGTTACGGACCAAGCAATTGGTCCATAACTTGGTTTGTTTGTAAGTCGGACCCCACAGAGTTACACACGACCACGCTGTTCATAAGCATGGATCGTGTTCGTAACTCGGGGACCAGCTGTAGTGATCCTACGTGTGACCACACAAATAACAGTAATAAAAAGCTTCCAGATCGGTAAATTGATGTGCACAAATACTACACACCTGGTGGAAGGGATATGAAAAGTTAACAAGTAAGCATCACCTGTTAACCAGTGGGGACTGGAGCAGCTCCCCGTCTGTCACAGGCAGGGAGTTGCTCCATCCCCACAGGACCCACTGTGGACAGGGGCTGCTCTTGCTGTCGAGAGCAGCCCCTATCCACAATGGGCCTGGGTGCACCATAGGCAAGGGCTGTGGTGGCTAGGCAGAAGCAGCCCCTGCCTGTGGTGGGGAAAGAGGAGGCTGCTCCAGCCTGCCCCCGCCTTTAATCGGTTAACCAGTTAAATGTGATGTTTAACTGGTTAACCAGTTAAATGGGGATTTTACATCCCTACCTGGTGATGAGGCATATTTGATAAGAGGTGGAATCATAGAAAAATGCATTTATAATGCATCTTGGGGTATATCTACATGGGAACTGGAGATCTGCTTTCCAATGCAGATAGATCTGATTGAATAAGTATGTTGAGGATAGACATGTAGCCGGGGCATCATGAGAGCCCGTCCACATGAGTACAGTGCCATTTGAAATCCTAGGCATGCGCAGGTGGGGCAGCTGGCCCATTCCATGCCATGACTAGGCTTCTATTCTTAGTGTGCTAGCTTGATCAAAGCTACTTGAACTGGAAGTTACATCTCTATCTCCAGTGTAAGCATGTCCTTTGACCACATACCCTATAAGCCCCTTTTGCTTTTTGCCTCATCTTGGTCTGTGCTAAATCTCTCTGCTTGCCAGTGACTTGAAGGGATTATCATATGAACCCTATTCACACCTTCATTACATTAGCCCAGCCTCCTACTCTGGGGGAGAAGTCATCATGCCAGCTGGTGGTCACTGGTGTTCTCTGACCCTGCCTTGATCCTCAGCAGGGACTTACATGTTGATTTTGTACAGTTCTTTAAAGAATGCATGACCTTTATTAGGAAAGGGACTGTTTCTCCATATCTTTACAGCATCTAGTCCATTTTGGTTGCTATTATCATATAAATACATTTCTGTTTAGTATTAAACATCTTGTTTAGCGTTACCAGAGGCAATTTTACTAGGAGCATTTAGAACTTAACATGAATATGTATTAAAAATTAGATAATCTAATTAGCATAGGAGACAAATATGTTCTTCAGGCACTAGCAAGGCTAATCACCAAGACCCTTCTCAATTTACCTGTATTATAGTATCCCAGCACTATAATGACTAAGTATTCAAGGCATAATTTTCCATTTCTAGGAGCTGTAACTGCATGAATATGGATAAATATAACACTTTAAGCATTTTTATCTTAAAATTAATGGCCCAAAGATTAATGGCTTCTCTGAAACACTTTTGGAGAACATTCCATGTGGTGAAAAGAAGCAAAAAAAATCCCCACGACTTTACATGAAGAGTAAGTGTACTTTTTGTTTACCTCTTGGGCTTTATTTGGCATTTTTATTGTAGATTCCACTTGAACATCGGACAAAACTTCTTTATCTTCTATGTAGCAGCTATTGGGATGGCAATGAGAAAAATAAGAATGTTATATATATTATTATTTTTGACAGCAATTATATTTCACACCTTACTTTCCAAAAGTATTGGTACTATAGTTCCTACATCATTTACTATTTAAACAGCATCAGCTCTTCTAACTGGCCTGGAAAAGCCAAGATATGCAAATGAGCTGTAGATAATACCCCACAGGTCCTATCACAGAAGGGTGTTGTCAATGCTTTTGGCTTTTTATATTGCTGTTGAAATTCAGGTCTCTCCTGAACTATGCTGGAGAAAATCAAGGGTAATGCATTGTGGTAGAGGAGGCCATGGTGGCAATACCTAAGGGTGTCTTCATGATTCCTGGATCATTGGATAGCTGCAGTACTTCTCATGTTAAGGCTGATCAGCTGTTCAGGCCCTCAGAACTGGGTAAGGAATAAGAGAGAGCAGAATCCTTTTCTTGTGCGCGCATTTCCTGTTCCACAACCTCTTTACAGCTTGAATGGAACAATATGATTTTCTGAGCCAGGTCCCCCAATATTTCATCGATACTAAATGCTTGAAATGATAAATGGACATTCTAACCCAAACAAACACTGCTTTCCACATACTTGTACATGTACAAATGTGAACCTGCATATAACTATACACTTGTCTTTATGCACATTAACTATTTTTGATTGTGTGAGAGACCAGGCATCTTTCCTACATTGTTCTGCACACTCACCTTTCTTAGGGTTTGGCTTTACTGACCAACCAATTAACAATACAATCACAAATTGTGCTTAAGTTTTCTCTCCTTACGACTTCTCAACCCACTCTCTAGAAGTTTTGTTTCAAAGAGTCACTCCTAATTCCCTTGTGTCTGTGTTGGAATAATGAGGCATCTGCCTCCTGACTCAGCTTTCTCAGCAGGATCAACATATGCTAACAGAATGAGAATCTCTCAGCCAATGCAGCCAGTTTAGTACCGTGTGCACATAGGGAGGCATAGTTTCTGACAACGTAGTTTCTCATACAAATCTTTTCTCTGCAGTTTACTCCCCAACAAGCAAAGGCAGAACACATCTTTTGTTAGATTGGGAATTCATAAAGGGAATCTTTCATGGAGACATGTTATCCAGAGCCCATGGTTGATGTGTGGAGACCTACAGTATTCCCATGACCATTTTTTAATGAAAAATTAATTGTGATCTATTCTGATCTATTTCCTTCTTCATCTGACTTCTAGAACAGAAATTTCCCTCCATAG